CTGACGCTGGAAGGCGGGCTGCGACGCTTCGCTGTCCTCGCCGAGGCTGGCGAGACCTCCGGCTCGCGAGGCAAAGTTGCCGCGGCCGCCCGGAGGCGAGGAAATGTTGAGCTGGTTCTGCAGCTGGGTCCTGAGGTGCTCTTCCTGCGCCTGCAGACGGCTGTTGACTGCGGCGAGCTCGTTTTCGGCATCGCCGAGGCTGTTCTGGCCGCCAGCGCCGCCGACCCGACCACCGGGAGGCGTCGACTTGATGTCCTGATGGGATAGGGCGAGAGGGAGAACGAGGGTCAGTCCGACGTTCGTCGCGAAGCATTGGTCGCTGTGCATTGGAGCAAAAGGGGGGCCGAGGTGATACCGGCCAAGCTGCTCCACCTCGCGCTTACTCACGGCGATCATCTGCTGGAGGTTGTTGAGGGCAGCGCTCGAGTCGCGGCCGCCGGCGGCAGCACCTGGCGAAGCGGATCCGGGCTTGCGGGCGTGCACGCTCGAGGCAGTGTCGCGCTTGTTGCTGCTGTTGCTGGCGTTGCCGCCAGCGCCACCACTGCCAGTGCTGTTGTTAGAGCCGGCGCGGTTCATGGCTGCGTTGCGGTCCGACTTGGTGCTGCTGCCGCTGTGGTTGGCCGCCTTGGAGGAAGTTGAGGACGACGAAGGCGGGTTGCCGTTGCTGACTTTCTTGTTCTGCGCTCGCGAGGGCCTCGTGCCGGCCGTCTTGTGGTCAGAGTCGGCGGTGGTTGCGCTTTCAGGGCTTGCGGTGGTGGTGGGCTTGTCGGCGCCGGTGCTGGACTTTTTGCCGCCTTGGGAGCTGTGATTGCCCTTGCTGCTGTGGCGCCTCTGCTGCTGCTGCTGCTGCTGCTGCTGCTGCTGGCCGGAGGCAGTAGTGTTGGTTGTGGTACCGGCGGCGGCAGAAGTGGGAGTCGAGGCGGAGGGGGCGCTGGCGGACTTGGACTTGGAGTCGTTTGATCTAGAGGGCTGCTTCTTTGCGGTGTCCTCTGGCATCGCGCAGGTGCTGCCGATGCCAATCTACAAGTGAGGCGCCGACGGTTGTGGGCGAAGGTGAAAAGGCGACGTGTGCGGGTGGGGGATGATGAGGGCGGCAAGGGAACTCTGTGCGAGCAAAGCAGATGGTGCTGCCCGGACGCGCGGGCGTCGGTGGAAGGGAAGAAAAGGAAGGTACCGTGGAAGGAACGGACGGTGCAGAGCTCGAAGAGAGGGGCGAGCTTTTAGCTGCACCCACGGAATGGGGGCGGACGGAGGGGGAAGGCGAGTGGGTGGGTGGGAGGCGGCGGTGGTGGCTGCTTGCACGCCTGCTAGTGATAGGAGAATCGGGTGCCGGCTCGGACGAGATACGGACGGGTGGGGAGGATGAGGTGGGTGTCGGTTGGAAGCGGGCGAGCGCGCGGGTGGGCTGAGAGCGGGTCCGAGAAAGACGAGCGACTGATCGACCGACCGACCGACTGGACTATGCTGCAAAGGGGCGATGCCGGAGCGGGGTGGCCGGGTGGCAATTCGACGCTGGAATGAAGGTAGTGCCTTCTTATACTGCTATGGTCGATGGAGCTAGCTTGCAGAGTCTCTGTATGTGAGCGGGAAGGGGGGTTGGATGGTGGCGTCACTTGAACTTGGATGCGATGCGATGCAAGCGGAAACGACGGTCGTACGGTGGCGAAGGGAGAGCCGAGTAGCTGTGGAAGGGGGCTGCAGCCGTGGAACAACGACGACGACAGCGGCGATGAGAACGGGGTCGAAAACGACGTTGGTGGTGATGGTGGTGGTGGGTGGTGAGAGAGAGGGAGGGAGAGGAAGGGCGGGTGGCGAGGCAGGGTGACGAGGCAGCATTCCATTCCTCGAGGCAGCAGCAGCAGCAGCAGCAGCACAGCAGCATCGACAGGGCCCGCCCACTCGCTGACTTGGCCGGCCTGTGCCCCCCAACCTGGCCTGGCAAGCCAGCGTAGCGTAGCGTTGGTTGGCCTGCCCTGGCCTGGCCGGCTCTGGCTGAGCAAAGCCGCCGCGGCCTGGCTGAGCCTGGCTGCTTGCTGGCCGTCGGGTCGCAGCAGGGTGGCCTGTGCTTGCCTGGCCCTCACCAGCAACCCGCTGCAGCACGGGGGCTGAATTCAAAAGCAAGCTTAAGGTTGTATTGGTGGCCCCCACGCCTCGACTTCAAAGTGGTGGGCCCTACCGTGCTCCGACTTGAAACGCGGGCCGTGGCTGCCCCACCCACCGCTTCAATTGCCAGCCAGGCCAGGCCATGCCAAGCAGGCGGTCCGAGCTGGCCCTGCCTGCCCTGCCTGCCCGCCTGCCCGCCTCCTCCTGGCCTTGTTGAGCCTCGCCTTTGGGGGTGGCTTCGTCTGGCCCGCCAGGCCAGGCCCTTGCCATGCCATGCTCGCGGCGGCGTCGTGCGCGGCATGGTGGCCACCCAAAGCGAGGCTAGGCTCCCGCCGCTTGCGCTTAGGGCCACAGAGGCAGGCCAGGGCAGGACAAGCCAGGAGGGCCAGGCAAGGAGAGAAGACCGAGTGACCAGCGCGGCGCGACGCACCGACAAGACGCCCCAATGCCTGCAAGGGATCCTCGCCCCGCTGCCAGCCGACCCACCTCCTCGCTCCTCGCTCCTCGCTCCTCGTCTGCTTCCTGGCGCACCTTGCTTCACCCTGGCCTGAGCTGGACTGCCTCTCGCCCGCCCTTTGTTCCGCCCCGGTCTGAGCTCAGCCTAGCCAGGCCAGGCCTAGTCGCTCGTCTTTCGCGTGGTGCGTGCGTGCGCGTGTGTGCGTGCGTGGGGGCATCATCTTCTGCTCGAGCCGGAGCACAAAGACAAGGGCGGAGGGGCCAATGTCCTTGCGGGGCCCGACCGACCAAGGCCCCGCTCGTCTTCCAGCCCGGCTCACCCACAAAGGGGACGCGGAGGGCGCAGCGTGATCGAAGCAAGCACCATCTCGATCAGCCCCACCCATGCCCGCATCAAAGCCACACGAGCCAACCAGATGGCAAACGGGCGACAAGAACGCGCGGGCGGCGCAATGGCAAGATGGTCGTTCGCTGGCCAGCTCGTCATGGCCACGGCGCATGGCCACGGCGCACGGCCACGGCTGAGGCTACGGCTACGACTAGGGCTACGGCTAAGGCTGATGGTACATAGGACAGAATCGACAACGGAAGGCTGCGGCGGCGGGCGCAAGCGACAAGTCAAGATACGCAGAGATCGAGCCCAAAGAGGAGGGGGGGAGCCAGATGGAGCCCCGCGGCGACTTTTGGCGGAAGAGTACTCGGCTGGCAACACCGACATCGGCGTCGCAGAATCGAGGGCGAGTTCAAACGAGAGAGTGAGCGAGCGAGGGGTATGCTTGGAGCGAGGCGGCGGCCGTCCCCGCCTTGGTCGCGACCCAGCTCGTAACAAGAGAAGCGAGACCAGATGTAGATCCCGCGCGCGACGTTGCCTCGTCTTGCTTGGCAGCGGTCACGGAGAGGGCACGTCGGCTCCTACCAGGCATGCCGGGGTGCGCGTGTGCCGCGCTGCCAGATGGCTCGAGCGCAATCGCCCCTCAGACCGACTTCTTCGGCCTTCCGCGCTTCTTCTTGGCCGGCTCGTCGCTCGTGCTCGTCGCCGCGGCCTCGCTGTCAGTCGAGGGGGCGGCAGCGGCGGCGGCGGCAGCGGCGGCAGCAGCAGCCTGGTCCTTGGGAGGTCGGCCACGCTTCTTGGGCACCGGCGCATCGGCCTCGCCGTCGCCCTCGCTGACTTCCTTCTTCGGTCGTCCGACCGCCTTCTTCTTGGCAGGGGCGGCGGCGGCAGCGACAGGAGCATCCTCAGACGAGGGCTCATCCGTGGCCGCTTCCACAGCCTTGGCCTTGGGAGGGCGGCCGCGCTTCTTGGCAGCGGGGGCGACCGGCACGTCGCTCGACGTCGGCTCGTCGTCGGCCTCGACCTTTTCCGCCTTGGCCTTTGGCGGCCTGCCACGCTTCTTTGCGCTGGCGGGGGCGGCTTCCGTGGCTCCGTTGCTGCCGCTGCCGTTGGGGGCGGTCGACTCGTCTTCGTCCTCGTCGTGCTCCTCTTTCTTGGGCTGCTTGGGGGGCGCGACCGCGCTTCTTGGGCTGCGTGGCGGCGGGGGCCGGCTCGGCCTCGCTGCTGGCCTCCTCGACCTTGGCGGCCGCCTCGACGTCGCTCTTGCGCGGGCGGCCGCGCTTCTTCTTGGGCGACTCGGGCTCGGCAGCCGCAGCGGCGGCACTGGTGGCGGCCTCTACCTCGGCCGCATCCCTAGCGGCGGTCTCGGCCTTGCTGGGGCGGCTGTGGGAGCGGGGGGCAGGGGTAGATCACGACGCGAAGGACGACGAAGACGAGCATACAAGAGGTCAGCGGATACGGCCACGCAAGCGAGCTTGGTCGCTGCGCACCGGACACCATACTCACCCGCGCTTCTTCTTGGGCTTCTCCTCGACTTCGACATCGACCTCGTCCTCGTCCTCAATCCTGGCCTTTGACTTGGCCTTTTTGGCGGCCTTTTTGGGCTTCTCCTCGACCTCGGCTTCGTCGTCACTCTCGACCTTAGCCTTGGCCTTTGACTTTTTGGCGGCCTTCTTGGCGGGCTTGGCGTCTTGGACATGCTTGTGCTCGTCGTCCTGGGCGTCGGCCTCGTCGCCGTCGTCGGCCTTTGGCTTCTCCTTTGCCGATTCGGGGATGTCTTCTGCTGCGACGTGGCCCGCCTGGAGTGCGGTGGTGATCTTGTCCCTCGCGTCTTGGTCGAGGTCCTCTGCGCCGTCGAGGTCGTCTGCAGTCTCGATGCCGTCGCCGTTGCGCATGTTGCTGAGGATCTTTGGGGTGGTGCAGCCCCAGTGGCGCCAGTGGAAGGTGTCGTTTCCCTGGATGGTGACGAGGGTGCCGAGGCGCAGCTCGCCCTTGAGGATCTTTGTGCCGGCGCAGGGCTTGGGACCGCGGCAGCCCGAGCGGTTGCTGGGCGCGCGTTCGATGCGGTAGGGCATGGCGGCGGTCGGTGTGTGGGGGGTGGGAGGAGCGTGCTGCAGGAGGTGAGGGTGTTGGTGGTGGTGGTGGTGGTGACGAAGCAGACACGCGACGAGGAGAGAAGGGCGAGCAGGAAGGTCGGTGAGCTGCGCCGCTGGTGGCAACGGATGGAGGTGGCGAGCGGATGGCGAGCGGACGCGGTGCGCGGCTCAAGCTCAAGGGTCCATGGACTTCTGGCTGCCTGCGTGCGTGGGCGCGCTCAGTTTGGGTGGCAGACGCCTGGGCTGGACTGGCCTGGGCTGGACTGGCCTGGCCTGGCCTGGCCTGGCCTGGCTTGAGGCAGCAGCGAGCCAGTCCGCGCCGTCGCGCCGCGTTGCAGGCAGGCAGGCAGGCAGGCAGGCAGGCAGGCCAAGCCAAGCCAGGTCAGGCCAAGAGGCCAGCCTTGCGGCCCCCACCTGTCATTTCGGCACTCACCTTTTTTCCTTGTTTCTCGTTTTGCCTCGCCTCTCGGGCTGTGTCGGCGCTACCACTGTCCAGTCCAGTCGTGCAAAAGCGATGGGCTACGTCCTCACACCGACGACACCGACGACGACGGTCTGCAAACCAAGGTGCGGACGTGTGCTGCGCCAAGACGCAAAGTCGGGAGGCGGAATTGCAACGACGGTCGAGCGAGCTAGGACCCTGCGTCGAACCACTGGTCAAGCAGGCGGCACGATGTGGTGAGCTGAGAGAGAGAGAGCGACGAGGATGGCTGAGGGAGCGAGCGAAGGCAGGGATGGGAGGATGGTGGCAAAGTAGAGAGGTCGACGCCAGACGACGCTGCGCAGCCAGCCTCGACAAACGGGGTCCTGACTGCCCCCTCTGGACTGGATAGAGCTGCCTTTGCTTGGGAGGAGCTCGACGGACTGCGCCCCGACAAGGTGCACGAGGTAGGGCTTTCCTCTGCAGCAGGCAGAACGGAGAGCGAGCGAGGGGCCCGCCCCCACTCGACGCAGCGCACGGCCCCACGGCAACGCAGGGCCCAACCCAGGACACGTCGAGGATGCATGGCAGCCGGCAGCCGGGCCCCTCTCTCTGGGCCCCTCCTCTCGTCCTCTCGCTCCCTCGCCGCTCACTCCTATCAGGGCCATAGGCGGTGGCCTACTCTCTCCCTACCTCGCTAGCACAGCCACAGCCACCACCACCACCACCACCACCACCACCACCACCATCACTACAAACACCACCAACAACACCAACCGCGCCCCCTCCCAATCTCGATGGGCGCATCAAGCCAGCACGGCACCCCCGTCTACCTGACCATCTGGGACCTCTCGCCCCCCTCGCTCCTCTCGAGCTCCGCCTACCGCCTCCTTGGCCTCGGCGCCTTCCACACCAACCTCTGGCTGCCGGACCTCGCCGTCGAGTACGCCTACGGCGGCCACGCCCATCCCGGCGTCAGCGGCGCATTCGCCATCCCCCGCGACCCCCTCGACCTCGATGCACTTGTCGATGCAAAACCACCAGGACGACGACGACGACAAGAGAATGGGAGGAACGCCCCACGTCCGCCGTCGACGCTGGATGGTATCAGCTGGTGGGGCCCTGAAGCCGTGCCGTGTCCCGGCCAAAGCCCCATTCCCGGTGCGAGGTACATGGGCGCCTGGTTTGTCGGCTATGCCGGTCCACCGCCGCCGTCCAGACCAACAGCCGACCACGACCTCCATGACGACGACGACAACGACGACGACCAACGCAGCGAGTTTGTCCGCTGGGCCGCGCCTCAGTCCGGTGCGCGAGCCTTCAAGGAACCTCTGCAGTTTAGCGACCCCTTCTTCCTCGCCTCGACCGACGCAGCACCACCACCTCCCTCGCCTTTGTCGTCGTCGGCGGCGGTAGCGGCTGGACGCCATCCAAGGCACGGCGGTGCGCGGCTAAAGAGCGTCAACCATGCGCTCGCCACCCTCCAGGCGATGCGGCAGGACGCCACGTGGTGCGGGACGCGGTACGACCTGCTGGCGCGCAACTGCAACCACTTCACCGACGCCGCCTGCCGCCTCCTCGTCGGGACCGGCATACCCGGATGGATCAACCGCTCCGCCAACCTGGGCAGGAGCGTCGTCTGGGCCGTCCCCAAGTCGTTGCTCGACATCGAAACCGGTATCCTCCTCGACGACGATGCCGAGCGGGCCGAGGTCGAAGATGATCGTGGACACGACCAGGACTGCGACCATGGGCGCGCGGTAGATGGAACGGGCGCCAGGCGGAACGTGGCTGCCGCCGCCGTCGGGCAGGCCCCGCACGAGGTGAGCACAGGAGATCGGTCCGATGCTGGCGTAGCTCGCAAGCTCGACTGGGAGAAGAGGCTCGCTGAACCACCGACGTCGATGGCGGGGCCTGCGGCTGTCGCGGTGGATGCTGGTGATGCACGGTCGATGTCGCAACGGCAAAGGGAATCAGAGCAGTAGCATGCGGGGTCCATTCTGGCTCACCCGTCCCAGCCCATCCCATCCCCGCGCCCAACGAGATGCGCGCAGCTTCACCTCCTCGCCTTTTTGGCCGTCTTGGCCCCTCCCCCTCCCCTCTTCCCTCCCCGCCCAGTCGACGACGCCCCGCCCCTCTTGGCACCACGACCGCCGCCATTCGCGGGCGACGCGGCGTCGTCCTCATCGGCAGCGGCGCGCTTGGCGCCCTTAACCGAGACGGTCGAGTTGACGCCGCCCGCGCCGCTGTGGAGCAGCTTGTCGACCTGCTTCTCGGCCTGGCTCCAGTCGCGCTGCGCACCGTCGTCGTCGTCGACGATGGCGTACCGCGACAGGTCCATGCTGTCAATCAGCTTGCGCTTGGCCTCGAGCGTCGCCGCGTCGTCGTCGCCTTCATCGTCATCGCCCTCGTCCTCCTGCTCCTCCTCGTCGCCATCCCGTTGGCCCGCCTCGTGATCCTCGATAAACGCACGGCCGGCAGTGC